CACTGCCTCAGTACACTCTGCACGCTCACAAGCCTGATCTCCCAACAGACCATCTACCAACGACACTGTTAAGAGAGCATGTCCCCGGGTAGAATTCCAGGGCAAATTTCTTGATGTCAGAAGATACAGACTTGGATATGGGGACTTGAGGCCAGGCACTTCCCTTCTGTGGATCTCAGTCTCCCAATCTATGAACGAGGGACCTCATGCTCTAGATGAGCAGGGTCCCCTGACTCATTAATCACAAGCATCACCCATGCTCTGTGCCTTTCTCTGTTCACAGCGGCTTGCAATCTCCCCATCGTCCATGGCCCCTGCCAAGGCTCGACCCAGCTCTGGGCATTTGACGCCATCCAGGGGAAGTGCATCCTCTTCACCTATGGGGGCTGCCAAGGCAATGGCAACAAATTCTACTCAGAGAAGGAGTGCAAGGAGTACTGCGGTGTCCCTGGAGAAGGTAGGAGGCCCTGGGGGGCATGGACTGGGCTATGGGCCTGCCAAGACCAGGTACGAGAGCCTGGGTAGTGGGCAGGGTCTGGAGACCTCAGTTCTAGACTGTGTGCCTGGTAAGCAGCCCATCTACTCACTGGGTCTCAGCTTCCAATTTGAAATGGTCCAAGCCCAGACCCTTCTCCCAGCTGGAACTGGGCACCTGAGATGCCAGCTGAGCACCAGCAGAGGGTATACAGAGCAGGCCAAAGAGCTGGGCAGAACGGGGTGCCCACTCTGGTCTTGCCACCTCCAGGCTGGCCACATGGGACAATGTGTGATGTCCACCTTCAAGCACCTCTTATGTAAAATGGGAGAAAGCACCATGGGCACAGAGTTAGTACTCAGGCAATAGCAGCTCTACCAGTAGTGACAATAAGGGAACAACAGCCATTTAAGATTTCTGCATCTTGATTCACCCTTTGAAAATGGTACCTATTTTGTGGACCGCCTTTTGGCAAGAAGTCATTCAGCAAGTGGCCTTCTCCAGAAGGCCCCCCATCTCCTGAATGTCCCCACCCATGGGTGTTCCCTGAACCTCTCTGTGTCCACAGGGGATGAGGAGCTGCTGCGATTCTCCAACTGATGGCTGGAGGGTGGCCGGTGTTTGTGCCAGGGCAGACTGGGCCAAGTGACCTGGATCCAAATAAAACCAGGCTGTACATTACTGGAGTTCCTTACCATTCATTGCCATCCCGAGTGTAACAAGGTGAGGGATGGAAGGGGAAGAAGTTTGGGTGGGGGGCGGCTAGCATGAGTCCCCCAGAGGTAAAAATGCATGGTTGGAAATGTAACTGAACTACCTGCAGCACATGAAATTGGCTATGAATTGTGAAACACATCAGTTTGTTATTCCACAATAGTGTAGGGATTAATCTGCTTTGTTTCAATAAAGCAAGAAAAGAAAGAAAAGGAAGCTCTGAGCATTTGTTGCTGGGAGAGGTTGGACCCAGGACATCAGCAACCCAGGATCAGAAGAAACACTGATATCCTAGTGTGCCAAGCGGCCTCAGGGCACTGCTAAGGGAGCTCAGGGAATACTCACAGTGCCTGGTCATTCTCCTGTCTCTGGCCACGCCCAGTTCCTCTCCAGGGTTTTCCTTTGGTCATGGCCCCATCCGTGTCATGTCCCCACCCTGGAGATGAAATGCCTTGGCTCTTTCTCTACCTTGTCCTGGGAAGTCCGTCTCCTGGAATCCTCACCCTGACCCCTTGCCTGCGAAGGAGACTGTTCACTGGCCTTCCACTGTGTTCAGGATGGCCAACTCGACCCAAACCAGAAGTTGGAGTCCCTGGGCTGGGCTGTCATCTTCCCATCTGGGAAAGTGTGGGTGGGCTATCCAGGGGCACACTAGGACCAATAGGGCTCTTGAGTATGCCAGGAGCCTCCAGTTCACACACTGGATTGATAAACATCTGATCTGTGAATGTCTCTGGTTAATTGAATCTACCTGGAGTCCTGCAGGGACTACTGCTGCTGCAGTGGAGGGTAGGACCCCAGTTTCGTGTGTTTGGAGGTGGAAAGCTGAAACCAGGGATGGCCCACACTCTGTGGAGTGACCAGCACCTTAGAGCCAGAGGTCAATTCAGTCAAGGGCTTGACACTTGTCAGGAAGGAAGGTCATAGTTCTTGGATGTGGATATAGAAAGCTTTGAAGCTCAGACACACAAAGACCTCCAGTGGTCTCCTGCAGAGTCCTGAGCTTGGCTGCCAATTTCCAACAGGAACTGTCCTTGGGGCAGCATCTGGTTACTGGTCATGTTCAGGTCTCCCTGGGCAGAAGTGTGTGGGATAGGAGCAAAGAAAGAAAACCAGTCCAAAAGAAGAAAAAGTTCCTCAGCCTGGGACTAACCAAGGGAGTCCCACCCCATGCCCATCCTACTGCCTTCACACATGCCTTCCACACCAGGTCCAGCTGCCCATGGTAGTTTGAAGGTGCCACTCTGAAGAAGCTACTTTGAAATGACCCAGACTGAGGGACACATGCTTAACCACAAAATGCAAGCTTCAGCCAGCTTCCATTGGGGTGGGATGTTAGGCTTTCAGGGTCTTTTTGAACAGTTTGGAGTCTTCTACTTAAAAAAATCAAGCTGTCATGTGAAAATCTGGGCTTCTCTCTCCTCGTGAGAAGAGGATCCAGTAGCCTTGGCTGCATTGTACAGCCCCTGGTGGGCAAGAGAGCCCCTTTAGAGGAGACCTCACCAGGGGGCTCACTAGCCTTGTCCTCTGTCTGATCCCCCAAGCATTTGCTCCTGTGACACTATAATTTTTCACTAAAATAAAAAAAAAAAATCAGCTTATCCTGACTTCACCCCTCAGGGGTGGGATGGGTTCACAGGACCTGTGTCTCTGTCAGGGAAAGCCACATGCTCTCCTCTCATCTCAGAAGGGACTGGGAGTCATTCTCAGCCTGGTGAACCCCCCAAAGACACACTTCAGCCTTTTTATCTTCATTTGATTCTCTAATAATCTCACCTCCATTTTCTTTTAATGGTACAGGTCACATTTCCTACTAAGTATATGTGGCTACTTAATAGGGAAACAGCTCTTTTTCTGTTTGAACACAATATTGTAATACCCAGGGGCCAGTCCTTCAGCAGCGAGAGCTCACAGGTCACACCCACCCTGCCCTTATTTAGCTCAAGAGCATGGGGGAGTTCTATGGCCCATAGCCCCTCTTTTTTGTTTTAGATGTAGAGAAAATGTCAGCTGTTAGCTCAGGGATGTCCATGCTCCCTGGAGGGTGGTCTGGAGGGCAGTGGGCAGCCTCCACCCAATTTGACTGGGTTTTTCCAGTTGACCCAAGCAACACATCCTCTTCAGGATGTTACCCCTAGCTGGTCAGAGACTAGGGTGGAGTAAGAACATCAGTGGGTGGGGGACTGGGAGTCACGGGCAGCCTGAGCTGTCGCCCGGCCCTCCTGTGTCAGCTGCAGCTGGTCTCTGGTGGAGTCGCCTGTCCTACCACTTGCCTTTGGTCTGTGTCTGTGAGGTGTTGGGCCCTGGGCAAGTGCCCGGGGATAGTCTCCCATAGCTCATGATGAAGGGCACTGATTCTTGCTTAAGAGTCCTAGATGCCACTAGGAATTGAGCAAATACCATGAACACTCTTCCCTAGAAAAAGGACAATACACACAAGTCACATCAAGCACACATATCATGCAGGAGGTCCAAGCTACTGGGTACCAGAGCTTGAGAGTCACTTGAATGACTGCAGGGCTGGGCCCACGTCTTCCTGGGCCTTCCTCACATATCAAACACTAGGTAAGGCAGGTCTGCTGCTGGAGATGATCGATGTCTCAGATAAGGGGCCAGTGCTCAACTGAAGTCCTCTTCACCCAGCTCCTGCAGGTGCCCTGCTAAAGTGGGTGGCAGAGCCCAACCCCAAACCCAAGAAAAAACACTACACACTGCATCTTCCTAAAGGTCATTTTATTGTAAAACCATAAATACAACACTGACATGAACTCATTTAAGCAACTGATCCTCTCTAACTGTTAAAAGGATGTCTTTTTGCCTTGGCATCAACCAACTGGGAAATAATGTTTCACGAATTCAGGGGGCAAGGCGGGTACAGAATCCTGGGCTGGGGCTTTTGGCGACTTAAGGAACCAGGTGGAACTTTCTTCTCCCAGAGAATGTCCCACTTTTGGACAAGAACAGACAGGTAAAAACAGCAACATTTAAACAGCTCAGTTTTTAATTTTATTATTTTATAAAAAAAATTTTTTCCAATCCTTTCCTCCATTTGACATCAGCAGAAGTTTTAAACATCATGAAACTGGTTTGACTGTAAATAGAGAAACGGTACTAAAGCAAAATGAAACAAAAACCCAAAGGACACACACGAAACCCTAAATAAACCCTCAAGTTTGGTCTCGGGGGTTTACATATCACAAGAACCGTCAACTCAATCCCCATGCAATGTGACTCCTTGTGAACTGTTGGACCCATACCAACGAGAAAGGAGACTGCCAACAACATCTTTTGTTAACACAGCGAGTGTGACACTAGGTAACTTTTTTTTTAATACAGTACATGGTACACAGGGTCCCCAGATGGCCCTGCATAAACCCCCGTGAAGACTTGAGCCAAGCACTGGCTGTTTATAAAAATATTGTGTTGCTACAAAAGTATAAATTAATGCTACCGGTATTAAGAAATATTAAACACATAAAACTTATAAGGATTAAGAAAAATATTCATTAATACCTGTAGAAAACTCTGGCCTAAAAAAGATATTTTTTTGTGTTTGTTTTTTTGTAAATTTTTTTTTTTTTTTTTTTTT